GGACAGGGGAGCATCCGTGCTGGCCGGGGAGCATGGGGTGGGCACCGACCGGGGGTGTACGGGCTGGGACGGTCGGTCCCAGGCTGGGGCTGTCCAGCCTGGAGCGATGGGGAGCCCCGTGGGGGTGTCGGGGCTGCTTCTCCCTCCGGAGCCCCCCGGCTGGGCTGTGCGGGGTGGGGGGCTGCAGGCGTGCTCTCTGCGAGCAGGGATGGGGCCGGGAGGTGATGGGGTGCTGCTGATTGGGGGGGTCCCAGCCTGGCTGGCAGGCAGCAGGGCAGGGAGTCCCAGGGCAGCCCCGGGGAGGTCGCTTTGCCATCCCCTGGGGTTGTCCCTGCAGCCCTGGCCCCTTCCCCGGGCTTGGTGGCAACAGGCCACCCATGGGGTGCTGGCCACCTGCCGGGGGCGAGCAGCGGTGGCACGGTGGCTGTCACATCTGTTACTGGGACGGCTTTTACTCCCCTCCGACTTCAGCATTGGGGCCCCTTCCCTTGCCGGCTGCCCTGGGAGCTGGCAGCGGTGGCCTGGAAGCTGAGGAGGCTCAGCCAAGAGGTGTAATTCAATTACACCCTGGCTGCTCTGCCTGATGCTCCCCGAGGTTTTGATTCTGGCAGTGAAGTGACTCGGGGCTGCGGCAGCCTAGGATGTGTGTGTGGCTGGCACTTGCACCCCTGTTCTCCTCTGCTGCCCCAGGGAGCACATCTCCTTGTCCACACTAGTGTGGGTGGCCGGCAGAGCCGATACATCCTCAGTCCACCTCTCCCTCAGGATCTGGGTCCCCAGCTCAGCCCGAGACACCCCCAACACTGGGAGCACGGGCCACAGGCTGGCGGGGACAGCCATGAGGGATGTGCTCAGCTCCAGGTACCGGCAGAGCCTCGTCCATCTTGCCTGGATGTGCCTGTTCTCCTCCATGCCGGTAAGGGAATGGCCCATGGGGCAGTGGGGTTGGCACTACTGGGCGTTGACCCATTGTGAACAGGCTTCATCCCACGTTCCTGCCCATCTCGAGGATGCCAGCGCGCAGTGGATCATCAGGGGGACGCCAGCAGCGAGCCTGGGGAGCCGCCGGGCGCCGTGGTGGGGTGGGCAGACCGGTATGGCAACCGGCCGGGGGCTCTGACCTGGCTCTGGGCTTGCAGAATGGTGGGGCCAAGGTGCTGGAGAAGACCTTCGAGGAATGGATGCGATACCGGGACGAGTGCTTGAGGAGGATGGCGAGCGAGCCCTACCCGGCAGGTACCCAGCAGTGCCTCGGCTTGGGGTCAGATGAGGGGGCACATGGAGCCAGGCGACAACTGGGGCTGGGGCCGGCTTTGATCCCTCCTCCAGCATCCTCTGTGCTGGCCCCCCATGGAGGGATGAGCTGGGGACTGACGAGTGTCTCCACATCTCAGATGGGGTGCCCAGGGCTGGGAGGCCCCTGGGGGTGGGGGCTGGTGTGGGGTACCAGGGCCCCACAGGTTCAGGGTGATGCCAGCCCCCTCAGAGGTGCTGGCAGCAGGCTGGGAGGGTGGGAATGCATGAGGCCGTGCCACCAGTGTCTGACCATTGGTTTTCCCCTCCTCGCCGCTGCTGGAAGGGCTCTTCTGCAACCGGACATTCGACATGTATGCCTGCTGGCCCGATGGGAGCCCTGGCACCGCCGTCAATGTCTCCTGTCCCTTCTACCTGCCCTGGTTTGAGAAAGGTGATGATGACCCTCTGCCACCCCAGAGCTGGAAGCCAGGGCTGGGCCATGCTGGGGGTAAAAGGCTGTCCGGATTTCCTCTCCTGCCCGCTGCTGGGGGGAGAGGGACCCATGAGCAGACCTGGGGGTCAGGGGACATGTGGGGGACAGCGGACATGTGGGGGACAGAGCAGAAATGGCTCAGGCCCTGCTCACGCTCACCCTAGAAGAGGGTCTTTGGGGCTGGGAAAAGTCCAGCACATCGTCCCAGGAGAGGGGTTTGGGGGAACCCAAGGGGAACGTGCCAGTTCTTCATGTCTGCAGTGAAACACGGGCTGGTGAGCCGCAGGTGTGGCACCGACGGGCAGTGGGTGATGGTGAACGGCAGCCAGCCCTGGCGGGACTACTCGCAGTGCGAGGAGGAGATGGAGTCCACCGCTGAGGAGGTGAGGTGCCCCGGCCTGGCCGCTGGGCAGGGACGGGCAGGGGCACCCCGGCTGTGCAGGTGGGTGCTGCTCGCCCAGGCTCACCAGCATGGTGCTCACCTGCAGGAGGGTGCCCGCCGGCTGATGGTGAGCTTCAAGGTGCTCTACACCGTGGGGTACGCGCTGTCGCTCCTGACCCTCATCTCTGCCCTGCTCGTCCTCACCGTCTTCAGGTAGGAGAGTCGGGGGCACGCGGTCCTGCCCCTTGTCCTTCCCAGCCAGTGATCGCCGAGCCGAGGGGTGACCCCGCTGCACACCTGGCCCCCCCGACACCCTCACTCTCGGCAGGAAGCTCCGCTGCACCAGGAATTACATCCACGCCAACCTCTTCGCCTCCTTTGGGCTGCGGGCAACCTCGGTGATGGTGAAGGACGCGCTGCTGGAGAAGCGCTGGGGCATGGAGCTGGTGCAGGTGGCTGACTGGGAGGCTCTGCTGAGCCATGAGGCAAGTGCCATGGGGGGGCCCTGCTTGATACTGGGCTGGGACCAGGGTGGGGACCTTCACCCCAGGGGGTGCTGGTGCCCACATAGCCCCAGGCACCTAGTGGGCAAGTTCTTGTGGTGTCCTGACACCTGCTAGGCAAGCTCTTGGGGTGCCCATGCTGCTCTTAATCTGGTGGATGAGGTCTCAGGGTGCCTATGCTGCCTGTGCACCCAGTGGGTGAGCTCTTGGGGTGCCTGTGTGCCCAGTGGGTGAGCTCTTGGGGTGCCTGTGCACCCAGTGGGTGAGCTCTTGGGGTGCCTGTGTGCCCAGTGGGTGAGCTCTCGGGGTGCCCATTCCCTCCCTATGGCGGGTCTCCTCTCGCAGGCGGCGCTGGGCTGCCGGGCGGCGCAGGTGCTGATGCAGTACTGCATTCTGGCCAACCACTACTGGTTCCTGGTGGAAGCCGTCTACCTCTACAAGCTGCTGATTGGGGCCGTCTTCTCTGAGAAGAATTACTACAGGCTCTACCTCTACCTGGGCTGGGGTAGGGGCCACCCGGGCGTGCGGCGGGGCCAGGGACAGCACCCGGTGTCAGGGAGCGCCGTGGCCCAAACCGGCCCCAGGAGGGTGTGGGGTGGGGGCTGTGCTGACCCTGGGTGTCCCCATGGTGTTCCCTGCCCCGGGGCCGGTTTCTCAGCTCAGGCGGGTGCTTGGTTTTACAGGGTTTGCTGTGTGACTTGCAGGGACCCCTGTGGTGTTCGTGGTGCCCTGGATGGCTGCCAAGTACCTGAAGGAGAATGCGGAGTGAGTGGGGAGGGATGGGGGGTCCCGCTGGGATGTCTGGTCCCAGGCTGGGGTTTGGGCTCAGCTAGAGGGTGGGACAGAGACTGCTGCGGGTCCCTGACGCACCTCGCTGGAGCTGGCACGCTCTTGGCCTCATCCTGCACCCCCTGATGCTGCTGCTCTCCCTGTCTCCCTGGGCAGGTGCTGGGCGCTGAATGAGAACATGGCTTACTGGTGGATCATTCGCATCCCCATCCTGCTCGCCTCCCTGGTAGGAGAGCTCCCGCCAGCCCCACACTTTTTTGGAAAACAGCAGCTCAGCCCCTGGCTCCTGGCCCCTGGGGGTGATGGTGGGGGGCAGTGACCCCCAGAGCAGCTCCCAGCAGAGCTCAGGAGGGAGGGGTTGGCCTCCAAGGCATCATGCTAAATGCACATGGGGCTTTTTTGCACCAGCTTGCTAATGCTCAAGCTCTGGGGGTCCTGGGGCAGGGGTGGGGGGCTGTGCGGAGCCCCAGAGAAGGTGGCTGGTGGAGTCCCCTGCTGCTTCCTAGCTGGGATTTTGGGATGGCAGGAGGGAGGGAAGGGCAGCCTGGGGACCCAGCACCGTCAGGCTGCAGCAGCCTTGGCAGTACATGGGGGTGTCTTCTCCTGCAGCCCTCAAGGGTGCTTGTCATGGCTGGGGGGGCTGCGAGGGGTGGGGGTGCTGGGCTGTGTGTACCCCTGCCCTGATTTCCCACCCCAGATCAACCTGCTGATCTTCATGCGGATCCTCAAGGTGATCCTGGCCAAGCTCCGTGCTAACCAGAAGGGCTATGCAGACTACAAGCTGCGGTGAGCTGGGAGGGAGGGGTGGCTGGTCCTGGGTCCTCCCTGGTCCTGGGGCTACACCACCTCCCCCTCCACCTCCTCCCCGCACATCGTGAAACAACCACCCTGAGACTAACTAAGAGCTTGTCCCTGCCTGCACCTGTGCCCCAGCCCTTTACTCGCTGCTGGAGGAGTCCCTTTTTGCTCTTTCAGGCTGGCCAAAGCTACGCTCACCCTCATCCCCCTCTTTGGGATCCACGAGGTCGTCTTCATCTTTGCCACCGATGAGCAAACCACGGGCATCCTGCGCTACATCAAGGTGTTCTTCACCCTCTTCCTTAACTCCTTCCAGGTGAGGTGGGAGCGTGACACAACCTTGCTCTGCCCTGGGCACACCATGGAGGAAGAATTGGAGGGTCCCTCTTGCAGCTCACTCTCCCCATGGTGCCCCAGCCTGTAGCAGAGGTCAGGGAGGGTGACACTGGCTTTCCCACCCCCAGCCCTCTTGTTGAGTGCAAGGCAGTGCCTCCTGTTCTCTCTGAGGCAGTGGTGGCAGGGGGACCTCAGCCCCAAAAGCACCCAGAAAGGCCCTGGGGAGACTAAGCCCATCCCAGCCCCAGGAGAGGGTGTGGTGTTGGGGTCTCAATCCCTTGCTTTCCCTCCAGGGCTTCCTGGTGGCCGTGCTCTACTGCTTTGCCAACAAGGAGGTACGTGCCTGTTGCTGCCTGGGTCCGGGGCTCTGCCATCCCACCCTGTGCCTGCTTGATCTTCTGGGAGGGCACGGCCAGGGAAAAGCCCCCGCTCTCTCCTCTCTGGCAGGTGAAGTCCGAGATGAAGAAGAAGTGGCAGCTCTGGAAGCTCGACCACCCGGCGCTCTGCTGCGCCCAGTGATGCAGCAACCAACCCCGCAGGGCCAGGAGCCAGGGGCTGCTGGCCACAATGGGCAGAGGGGCCTGGCTGGAGGGTGGGGGGGCAGTGGGGAAAGGGTGCTGCAGCAGCACTCACCCACAACAGCCAGGCTGGGACCAGCGGCTCAGTGGTGCTGCAGCCAAGAGCCCTGGAGCTGCTGGAGGGGCCATGGCCCCTCTACAGCCCAAGGGGGAGGCAAGTGCCCTTGGCTCTTACCAGCCATCGCTTCTCCCTCTGAGGAGCCTCAGCTCTCGGCAGAGGGAGACACGCCTGCTGCTTTATACCGCTGCCTGAACACCATCAGCTACCTCTGTTGGCATCCACCAGCTGTGCTGAGGGGAACCCCCCTGCCCACCCAGAACCTGGGCACCCGTAGAAAGGGACCACGAGGGCTGGAGAGGGCACCTGGCCAGCAGTGGGGAAAGGGAGACGCTGCTCAGCCCAGCACTGCTGCCCCATGAACAAAGAGCTCCTGCTGCACCCTGGGCCCTGCCAGCATTGCTCTGCCCAGGGTGTCACCTTCCTGCTCTCCTTGCCCCAAGCAACAACTATCTCACCAACACCCCGAGAGCTCCCTGATGTCCATCCTACAGTCATCCTGCAAAGCTCCTCGTTGTAGCAAGGTGCTGCCTCTACACCTTCTCACCACCCTCATCGCTGATACAGAACATGGCATCACCACCTGCCTCCTCCTCGCTGCTCTGCAGCTGCACCAACCACCAGGTTTCCTCCTCTGAGCTCCTCCTGCAGCAGAGCCCTCCAGATCCCCCCTCCGAGTGAGCAGAGCGGGGGCAGCAGGCAGTACTGGAGCGCTTTGCTGTATTTACCCTCCACAGTAAGGGCAGCCCTGGTTCTCCTATGGTGACAGGGGAAGAGCACTGGGGAGAGCGAAGGACTTCAGCCCATCAGGTCGCTGGGAGCTGAGCCCAACCCCAGCACCCAGCCCAGCCACCTTCCCCCTCACAGCAGGGAGAGCTGTGAAATCCCAGGCAGGAACCATGCTCAGCTCAGGAACAGCTTTGCTGACAAAAGGCTGGACATTTCTGGGCCCAGCTGTGCAACAGCTGCCATTCAAGAAGTTTGCTTTCCAGAGGGCGCCAAGGCTCAGCTGCCTCCCCCCGCCAGGCAGGCTGGGGAAGCCTGGGCAGCCCAGGAGCAGCTACAGCCCTACCTTGGGCAGCGAAGCACCCGAGGCCGCAGAGCTCGAGCAGAGCTGACCCCGCGGCTGCAGAGCTCCTCCCCGGCTCTGACCCCCAGTGGCAGGACAGACGTGGCGCTGCCCTTCCCGCTGCTGTGCTCGGCCTTGGGAACGGGCCCCCCCAGGAGGGAGGAAGCAGCTCTTGCTCTCCACTAAGCGCAGGTGGACACGGGTGGTTCTTCACCTCCAGCCCCTTCGCTTAGAGGCTGGGGGGAGCCTCCTGCAGACGCAGGAAGGAAAGAGGCTGCACCAGGCTCAGCTGCAGCTGGGTTCAAGGCTGGAGAGTGATGCAGGAGCTTTCCTGGATCGGTTTAACCCCTGTAAGACCATTTTGCGCATTAACTCTTCTCAGATGTAAATAAACGTTTATTTTTCAGCAAGCAGAGCATGCTGCTCCTGTCTGCTCTGAGGGAGGGAAACAGCTCCCAGGCTACACCTACCGATTTGCATCTGAGCACACACCCTCCCAGGTACAGGGGGATTAAACAGGTACCCAGAGCCCCTGACTCAACACTGCCCTATGCTCCCCTCTACAGGGTTACAGAGGGGAAAGTAGCAAAATAAAATACTTATCACCACGATATTAACAGAAACAGCAACCTGTCTAGCCCTGCTGGGTGTGCTTGGGGCACTGCTGCAGGAGCTGTTGCCAAAGCCGCAAGAGGCTGCGCTGCCTCTGGAGGAGAAAGCTGGCCCTCTTCTGAGATCAGGCTGGTCTCCCTGACGAGCCCCGGCCCCTGTGCTTGCAGGCAATCTCTGATGTACTGCTGTGTGCAAGATGGAGCTGAGAGATAAGTAACAGTTCTCAACATCAAGGACCTTGAGTCACAGAATGAAAGTGGACCCCTTTCCAGTCCTCTCCCAGCAGTTTCAGAACTGGTATGGAGATGGTGAAGCCCTGGCTGCACACCAGTCCCCTGTCAGGCTGCTGTAGGACACACCAGGACTGAGAGATGGGAAGGAGCTGAGAGTAACTCTGTTCCACTCCCACCACTAAGAAGCCCAAGTCAGCTTCAGTTGTGTTGAAATACACCAAGAGCTTTAGTTTTGACCAGAAAGATTATGTAGTCCTATTTAAAGCTTTCTGTAACAGCCACTGAACAGTATCCCCTTGAGCACCTGTTTAGTGACAGGCTGAAGGCTTGGAGGAACAGTCACACCAACAGCTCACTAGTGTCTCCCCTCAGAGATGGGCCCAAGTACTTTATCCTAAGAGCAAAATCCCAGCACCTAAAACTCAACAAGGCCTAAACTGATTTCTAAACTAGTAGAGTCAACCGTTGTCATGGAACTGGGACCTCTGGTGCAAGAGTGGCAATGCCCAGGTGGGAAGAGCCAAGCCTGCAGAGGAGCACACACTACCTATGCCTGTTCTTCCTCTGCAGCTCCGGCTCTGCCTGACCACACAAATTCCCACAGCAGCTACTGAGCCAGTGCTGCCAGGGTGCCACCTCCGATGGGGGCCAGGCAGGGCTGGAAAGCCTGAGTGAGGCAGCCCCAGACCCCTCAGCATGCGGCCACTTGGGAGGGGAAGCTGGAAAGCACTGTACGTCTTCCCAATTGTCCTGAAAAAAAAATCACTGAGGTTACTCATGATTCTACAACCCCAGCTCCCTTCAAAAGAAACCCACACACCAGAAACAAGTTTTCAGTTTTTATTATTTTATCCAAGTCAGCAAATATGATTTTATTTGGACAGCTTGCCATAGGGTAGCACCAGACTCCCTGCAGCCTGCACAGCCACCCTTTCAGCAACAAGTGCTGTTTCAACTCCCCCATTTAAGGCACTGTCTCCTCAGAGAAACACTATTCTATAAAACCCCCTCCGCTACTCTAGCACCCCTTTAAACCTTTACATGTGCTCTTGTGGCACCTTTTCTGTGGAGCTCTCCTTTTCCTTCAGATGTACACTGCTCATCTCTCACCTACCCCTTGTCTCAGGCTCCCAAGCATTACAATCTGTTGGAAGCACCATCATTCCTTTCTTCCACCCTATGACCTTGCAAAGCCAGCCCCAAGTCTGTGTATCTTTCCTTCCAGCCATCCACTTCCCTGTGCAGCCTGCCCAGCTCTAAAGGTAGCGCTGAGCCAGGGCTTCTCTTGCTCTCCTGATGCTCCCAGGCCCTTTCACTTGGGTTTTAGTTTGGGTTTTTTGGAGTGTTTTGGGTTTTTTTGTTTTCTTCTATGAAAACTCTTCCCCCTTTTCCCACAGATATTTTGCCTTAAATTCAAGTCTGGGCTTCCCAGGGACACAGCACTGACAACCCTGAACTAGTGCAGCCACAGACGCCGCCAAGACTAGGAAAAGCGCAGTGCAAACTGCCTTGGCACTCCCCACCATTCCTCCAGCAACAGGGAACGAAGGACAAAGCCCCAGATACTCTTCCCAGCACAGCGTCGACACTCTGAGCAGCTTTCAGGGATGCTGCCTTAGGAGAATTGGCTCCACATCATCAAAACTAATTCTTTGAGGTGAAACTTCCTGCCACACAGCCAGCACCAGATGCTCACATGCACACACCCATGTCATCCGTTAAAGATGAAAAACCTGTGTGCCACATTAAGAGTTAAACACAAGCAGAAAGCAGCAGGGCACAGCTGCCCACATGGCCCAGGGCTGTCCCCAGGAAGCACTGACACACCTGTTCAGTGGGACCCTCACACCAGGCAGCACCTTTACCCAACACAGACTGGCTTTCAAACCTGCCTAAATGGCCTTGGGCAGCTGATCAGGAGGAGTAACTAGCTCAAAGGAGGGAGCCACAATGGATTTTTGCATCTCTGATTAAGGTCCAAAAAATCAGAAGGAACAGTTTCTTCCTCTTCCCAAAGATACATTTCCAGGCTCATGAAGGCCATCACTCAGACATCAGGTTTTATTGTTTGTTGGGTTCTTCCCCCTCCCTCACAGGACTTGGCAATACACAGGAACAGAGTCACTGGAAACCATTTTACACCCACAGAACTGCCACCAGAGCCCTCGTGGCTGCTGAGCAGTCTCTCTGGGGAGGCAGCCTCTTCCTGCACTATTTGTCTGCCCCTTGGAAGTGCCCACTGCCAACACGAGAATGCCTTGGCAGAACTATTTCCAAACACTAAGGCCTGGAAATCAAAGGCAGCCAGCAGTTGAGGACCAAAGCTTTGCACCACAGCTGCATCTGGGATGTGATTTCTTTTGCCCATCTCCCATGTGGGATAGATCTACCCCTCCATTCTTGTTCTGCCTGCCTTGGCACTCTGCTGCTTGCCCGAGGCACAGGAGACTGAACAGTTTCAATCTCCTTGTTGTCTCTCATGTCCTTCCAGGGGAACATCTGCCTTGCAACTGCTGTCAGTGTTGGGATCTTGGCACTAACAAACCAGACCAGGAGTCCTTGCCATAAACCATTTACCACAAAAACGAGTTCCTTGGGACTGAGTAACACGATCACAAACAACCCCCAAAGGGGACAAGAAGCTGAACCGAACTAGGGTGACCTGGCTGGAGGAAGAAGTTTTGAAGCACAGATTTGGGATAATAGTAGGGCAGAAATTCTTGCTAGAAATTAGGACTGCATGAATTTCACTGCAACTCAACGAGCCAAACATTATAAACTCCACTCACTTTACCCATCCACAGCAACCCCCCCTTCCTTATTGCCTCCGATACATTTTTTGGGTCAGTTCCTGAGCAGTCCACATGGCATAGAAGGTGCCAGGGCAAGTGTCAGAGGCTTTGGGGAGGACAGGATGTGGAAAAGGATAATTGATTGTTGTGGGTAACTGTCAGCTTTCTAATAAGACACAGCCCTGAACAACAAGGGCTGCAGGAAGCTTAATGCAGATAAAAATTCTGGGCTTGTTGCTTCTCCTCTTAACCCAACCTTTTGATATGAACAGCAATGATCCTGGGAACCCAGTTAGGCCCAAAGAGCTGCTGGGTTGTTGTCTTCTGCTGTCCCTCGTTCTCCCAGGCATGTTATCTGATGGCTGAGACCTTCCTCCACACATCCCCCAGCCACTGTGGCACTCTCAGCAGAGCTGCAGTGCTGCCAGCACGGCCCTTGCGCACATTCTCCCAGGCACACTCAGCTTCCGGGTGGAACAGTCACCCGACGTCAGTATTCCTGCAGCCACCAGGAAAGAGAGGACAGTCACGCCTTCAGTGGGACAGAGACACATGGATTTTCCATATGGGAAACCAACCAGAGGCTCAGCATGAAGGCTACGAGTGAGCACCGGGCACATGGAGCAGACAGGCGTTACCTGCTGCAAGGAACAATGCCCCCCTTGATGCCACAGCCCTCCGTGGCTGTCATCAGCTCCCACTCACCCTCCTGCTCTGTTACGGCTCTAGCCAGCTCTGCCCACTCTGCCCCGGGGCTTGGAGCCTTTGGAGGTTTTGAGTCACAGTCTGCAGAGCTTTTCCTAAGGACAAACCAAAAGGAAAAGATCAGTGTTAGCAAAAGGCCAGCAAGCAGTAAAGAACAGGCTGCAGTCCGCACTCAGCCACTGTTATCCTGCCTTCATGCTGACTTCTCCCCTGAAGCTTCCAGTGCCCCAAAACCAGGAGTGTCTCTACTCTGGCTGTTGCTGGGAGAAGGTCCTGTCATCAGGAGAACAGGACACAGGCTTTGGGAACCACTTCAGAAGCAGCTCTGACCACTGAGCAGGAGAGATGCAGAGGGCCACATATGCACTCTCTCAGCCTGGACCTGTCAGCAGAGGCTGAGAAAGTCCAAGATCTGCAGTGAGAGTAAGTTCAAGAAAACACCAGCACCAGCTTCAGAGCCTGGAGATTTCCCTGAGAGGGGATTGTTAGGCCCCTCCAAACTACCACCACTCAGCCAGGCCTCACCTCCAGCACAACAGCCACTTCATGTGCCCAGAGTCCTCCCCACCTTACCCATTTCTCCCACACACTCTTCTAGGACAGCAGACAGCTCAGGCAAGCTCAGAGACTTCAAGGAAGGTGGCCATCCTTCCAGCACTGCAAGGAAGAGGAACCACACTTTTAATCAAGCTCCACAGAGGAGACACAAGGCTTTAGTGATGCTGTGAAGCATCCACACCCAAAGCAGCTCTAGTTAAGGGGTCTGAGTCACAGGGGAAGAGAGCTGGAACTGTCTGTGACAAACTGAGGGTTTTTTCTAGCAATTCTACCACTTAAGAGTATTATTTTTTAATACTGGCTGGGTCATATTAAGAAAAGAGATTAAGTGTAGCAGACAGAAATCAAGGGGATCTCTACTTGTCTCACTTTTAAAACAAAAGCAGCAAAGAGCCCATCTCTGGAATCATGCCATGGGCAGCAGGATCACGGGCTAACTCCTCACAATAAGGGGCTGGTGGGCCAAGCCTGCCCAGCTGTGCACAGCAGCTTATCCCAGGGCCCAAAGAGCACCATCCCCCAGGCCAGGTCAGGGAAAAAACCTCAGCTTCCGATTCAGACCCTGCTCTAGCACACGGTGCAGTAACACACCCCAGGCACCTGCGTGCTGCCACGTAGGAGGGGGAAACCACAGGCCCTGCACTGCAGGGCTGCCACAAGAAGCCTGTGCTACAGCTCTGTGTTTTTAGCTACAAACACCTGCCAGGCCCCAAATCTTCCCACCTGCTAAGAATCAAAAGCTGCTGAGAAACTGTTAAAGTCCAGCCACCCTGAGTACTTTAAATGCTTTCCCAGAGCAAGAATTTTTACATTAAACTTAAGGGTTTGGCTGCTCATCTGTTTCCAAATCACTTCTAACATACTTTCAGCAACACAAGACAAGCAGGTGGCTTGCTCTGGGGTTGCCTGCTGTTTGCCTACCCCCTGCATGCATTTCTGTAATAGAGATAAGGTCTTCCTCACCCGGACGCTCACCAGGCCGCCTGCCCTCGCCAGTTCCCAGCTGCACCTTTGTGTCCATCACTCTGCCACCTGCCTGCTCCTGGGTTAGCCGGGAGGACAGCTCTGCTTGACAGGATCTGCCAAACAAGACAAAGGCCATCAGAAGTGCACAGGGACACTTCTTGGAACAACATGCTAGTCTGTGCACTCCTACATCCTGCAAGTACCTGCTTGGGGTGCCGAGGGACCGCATCTAACGCCCTGGGTTACAAACTGCTCCTTGTTCCTTCCCAGGAAGAGGAAGACGTGCCCCAGACAAAGCTCAGGGCGCTCTCCACTGTGCCCCATCTCCACAGCAATTTCTGCCCCTGTCCACAGAGGAGCTGCGGGGGGAGAAGAGAAGGAGGGGGCGGGGTGAGCAGGAGAAAGCCCAAGCCAGGGGCTGCGCCTGGTTTATATGAGAATCGAGCCTGATCCAAGGTTTTAATGGGGAAATGAAGCTACCTCAGGACAGGCATCAGGTTAAAGCAAGAAAGGCACACAAAGTTCTCTGGGTGTCATCATCATACCATTTTCAAAGAGTGTATCCTCAGAGCATGGCAGGGCCCTTCTACCAGACAGCCTCAGCTCCTCAGTCAGGGGGAAAAGACAAGTGCTCTGGCCCTTGCAGCTGGGAATATTGCTCTGCTCTCCTTCTGGAAGCCAATCCCAGTTCATCCTGGCCTGATAGTAAGCAGCCCCCATTCCCTGTTGGGCTCGGTTCTATAAGTAGTAGGATTAATGTCACCTTCAAGGATGGGTCTGTTTTATCAGTGGACAGAACAGGGCTCATGACATGAATCCACCTGGGTCACAGAGAAAAGTGCCAAAGGCCACAAAAGGTAGACTAGGACATGGGGGAAGAGAGAATTCAAAGGCAGTGATGTGAATGAGCAGGACAGGTTTTTCTGCAAGGTGTCAGAGTTGCAAGAAAAGTAATCTTCACTAGTCAGGGCAAGACATTGCAAGTCCTTTCATGCAGTTTGGAAGTTCAAAACTCCTGCATTCACCCAGTCGCCAAGTCACTGGGTCTCATATAAGCACAAAGGACTTAGCCTTTTGGTTCCTTCTACTTGAAACAGGAACACCCAGCATCTCTGAAAAGTCAGGCCATTTATAGCTCATGCATCTGATTAAGGCTTCACATCTGCTCATGTGGCTGTGGCTTTCCACTAAAGAAAGTCAGGCAGAATCTAAAATAGGTTTTAGCCTGGTGAGCTCTCCTGCCTTACCCTACATATCACCTGCAAGGTTTCCAATACGACCTCTGATCTCTGTACAGCTCAAATCCTGTTTCCCAGTAGCCTCAGTGCCATTTCCTGGGAATGACTTACTTGATTTGATCCAGGAGAACTCCAGCATCCTTGGTGATGGCCTGAGCCTCTCTGAGCTGGCACTGGATGGCATTCCAGGTCTCATCCCGCTCCATCAAACAGCTCTCAGCCACTGCACGCAGCTTCTGCTCCTGGCACACCTGGCCCTTCATCACCTCTACCTCTTCACACCTCTATATCAGAGCAGAGCAGAGGATCAGGCTGGCAGTGCTGCACGTCACTATCTACCTGCTCTGACACGTCCCCAGAGTCCCTGCTATTTTAACGGCTTAGGCAGCCAGAGGGTTCCTGCAAAACCACACCCAACCCAGTGGGAATGGAAACAGGATAAGGCTTGTACACCAAATACAGCTTTTCTCCACACCAAGACTAGCCCCACAGTTACAATTCTGCTTTCCTCTTAATTTGCAAAGATGCTCAGTAGGCCCAATTTCCCAAATCAGCAGAATTCTGTTCACCAATGGCTGCACAACTTCACCATAGAAGTGACACTACTGAAAAACAGAGTAGATATTCAATTCGTCCCATTTGCCCTTTTAGCTCTCAGGTGGATGGGAAACAGAGACAAAGTCTTCACAAGTGCAGAGCACAGAGGATAAGGAGTGGATGAGCTGCACTTACAGCATTACCTGATCTACTTGACATCAAGTGTGTCCACTGACAGTTATGTCCTTTCCTTTACCCCAGGCCATTAGAGGTGCCACAAAATATGCTACCGATTAGTTACTGCAGTGTAATAAGGTACTGAGCAGCTCACAGCAGACTTACCTTGTGCAGCTGAATGGCCAATTCCTGCATCTCCGCCTCCAGCCGATCTGCGTAGGCCAGCTCCAGGGCGTCGCTGGGCGGTCGAGCGTTGCTGTGCCATCGAGCGATGGCAGAAGTCATCTTCCGCTTGGGTCCAAACAGGCTGGTGGGAGAATGGCAAACTGTCAGGGCGCAAACACTGCACCATCTGCCCCCAGGCCCAAGGGCATGCCATGAGGACCACTCCAGTCTCCTGGTTCCTCCAAGGCACCTCCAAAGACAGGGGCCTGTTACAACCAATAACTAGGTGATATCAAAATCGTGTGGGACACTGTCAGAACAGAAAATAACACTCTAGCTAGACTTTCCTGACCAGGTTGTGTGCATGGTTTATAAGGGGAAAGATGAGAAGTACATTACAGAGACTCACGTGATGCCTATTTCCTTCAGATCACTCTCCGTGAGAGTCAGGAAGATCCGGAGGTCAACATCTTGCTCCTCAAACACTTGCAGATACTTCAGGCACCCAATCTGATCAAGGAATGTTGCCAGATCCTGCAGCCCATCCAAAACAAACTTATTTATACCCTCACAAACAAAAGCATTACTATTCCTCTTAATCATAAACACCTGCTTCCTCATGTTGCTGTTATGCCTTTCCGGGTTCTAGCAGCAACCACGACCTCCCCTGGTTAACTACCCTTCTCCATAGGCACACGTCTGCTGCAGCCACTGCCTCTTGTCACGAACGCAGAGAAGACAGACACACTAGCCCCACCACAGACACATGTGGCAACACACCCACAGGCCTGAGGGTCTACAATACCCCTCTCCAAGCAACAGCAACACCTAAGCAGACAGTTCTTTGTATAAAAAATTGCTGCTTCACAAGCATTTAAGTTTGGGCGCACTTTTGGAACCAAAAGTGTTTTGGTGACAAGTTCCCTTTTATCTGAGAAGGCCAAGAAAGCAGCTTAGGCAATCCTGGAAAAGCCTCCCAAGCTTGACAGAGTAACACAGTCTGCATTACTTCAGAGAAAACTTTCTGTGTAAAGTTACCTGGGGCCCTGTATAGGCAGGGGGCTCAGGAAGGATCAGGTGCTGACCAGAGCCCCCAGCTTTCCCTGGGCAGTGGGCCCACTGGCTATCACTGTTGCTGTAGCGGTTCTTGATCTTAAAGCTCTTGGCTTGTTTCCGACTAGGGGGACTGTTTGCATGGTCAGAATCCTGAAAAACAAAAAACCTACAAAATGTAAAGGTCAAGGATGATCACACAAAGATCAGGATCACTACAACTAACAAGTGCAGACTCCTTCAAGTCCCAAGCTCTAAATCCAGGCAGTTCACAAAACAGGTTCACAAAACACAGGCAACAAAGACTAACAGAGCCCTTACGAGGAAAGGCTGAATCAAGTCACTCCCAAGATGACACCATGGAATGATATCAAGCTCTTGCAATCCTAGCTTAGGAAGCAGAGCAGAGGGCAATGTTGAATTCTCCCTGAAACAATACAATGCACTGAGATTCTACCTGTGAGAAGCTCCTCAAGATGCAGAGGACTTTTGCTCATGTCCAGCTATATCACCCTTTGGCACATCAGTCCCAGAGCTGCCTTCAGTCATGGAGTAACCTCCAACCTCTTCTCCTTCCTGTATTTCAGAAATGCCAGTACAGCACTGTTCTGCTTCTCTAAATGTCACTATACTGCCTGTTCTCTTGCCAAGCTCAAGGACTGACCCAGCTCTAGTAAGTCATATCCTTCCTTGACCACCACCAAGCTAGAAGTCTGCAAACAGTTCAAAAGCTGGAGAGAATTTAAAAATTGCTGACTAGCCCTCAACAACCTACTCTAACATGAACATGGTCTGAGAGTTGGCTAATAGCTGGAGATCAAAAAAACCAATCCATAATCTTCAACTGTGAAAACTGGTTTTCTTGTCCCTGTAACGCTACCTCTCCTCAGCCAGCCTGGTACTACAGCCTGCTGTGGAGGCAGAGTCACAGCAGACTGCAGAAGGGGGACAGCACTGGCCAAGCTGAAGGCATGCAAAGGAAACTTGAAAACCCCACCTCATTGCTTTCCAAGGAGCCTTCACTGCTGACTCCCAGGGCTTTGGTTAGGCATTCACTGCTGCTGCTGCTACTCCTGATGATTGCTAAGTTCTTGGTAAAGAAAATGTTATCCTCTGGAAAGATATATAAAAAGAAGTTTGAGGTTTTTGTACTGTTTTTGATACTCAGTTACCAGCAAAACCTGCTGGAGGCATAAAGGAAGGAGAAACCCAGAGCAAGCCTTCACATGCAGCACTTTTGACAAGACAATTCTGAGACAGAAATATCACGTGTCTGATGCCAGGCACTAATCTTTCTCCAAGCCTGTTTAGTACCACAGAGGGCAGGAATGCTCAGTGTGTTTCTTTGAGGCTCTTGGTTATGGGGTCAAGAAGTGGGTTATTACTACCAAGCCTGCAATCCCACTTGTAAGGTTCAGGAAAGGCCCTTCCTTGAGCCCAGAGCCAATGCAGAGCCACATTGTCCTTGATTAATTTAGGAACTGCCCATAGATCCTCCCTTTGTGCTGCATCACACAATCTCAGAATGGTGAGGTTGGGAGGCACCTCTAGAGGTCATCTTGTCCAAATGCCTGCTCAAGCAGGGTCACCTACAGCATATTGCCCAGGACCATGTCCAGGAGCATCTCCAAGAGTGGAGACTCCACAACCACTCTGACACCCCACTCCTGCATGGTTCCCCTCACAGTAAGAAATCCCAAAGCTAACAACAACAACAGCCCCACAACCCCCAAACACTTCCTTATGTTCAGAGACTCCTGTCCTTCAGTTTGTGCCCACTGCCTCTTGTCTTGTCACCAGACACCAATGAAGATGGCCTTGCTCCATTTTCTTTACATCCTCCCTTCAGATTATCTGTACAGGTTGATGAGATCCCCACTGAGCTTTCTCTTTTGTAGGCTAAAGCACCACAGCTCTCAGCCTTTCCTCATGAGAAATACTTCAATCCTCAATATCTCAGGGGGAAAAGAACATGCAAGCCAAGGGGTTGGTCTCACATTCAGGTGTGCACTGCAAGCTAGACTATTTTCTGAAACAGTGACTTACCCCTGCTGCTGCTACTCTCCACATCCTGCTCATTAATTGGAGAAGTAACATCCCGGTTCCGGATATCATCCGCTTCACAGTTGCCATCATCATTGAAAGTAACATAGCCCTGAGGAGGGACCTGCTCTGTGTGCGAGAGGAAGGGAGAACAATCAAACATTAGGATGCAAGTTATCAGGAAGGCCCCAGCAGGAAAAGCAACTGCTCAGGGATTTGAAAATAATCAAAAGAAGAGAGTTGTTCTCTCAACTAGCAGACTGCATTCCAGAAAGCAGAGAGTGAGAAATGCATATGCCCACAGCCTCTCTCACGCAAACACACAGCAGCTGTACTTGATTTAGAAGGTTGCATCAAAGAGTCAGAGGAAACAGCCTCATAGTAGAGATGCACCTTAAATAGCAGCTTTCAGCATTTCCTCTCCTCTTCATATCCAAATTATCAACGGGGAAAAACACCACTTTAGAAGAGCAAGGTGCCAGCTAGGGCCCATCCCCTGCCAAGCACACCCTGTAAAACCAACCCCTCTGCATCTGTGTTAAAACAGTTGTTTAAGAAGCTGACAGTATCATTTTGATACATATTATCTCATAGGCAGTGGCTATCTGTATTAAGAGAACGAACTGGACTTTGAATTCTATATTTTTGATTATTCTAGACCACTGGGTAATCAGCCTGAGAAATACCCATGGCTATGAAAGGCAAAACAAACCACCACTCATACCACCGCATCCAGGGGTTGACGTCTGAACTGGGACCATCCTTCTCTTGGCCTACTGCAAAGGTTTTGTAATCTCATTTATAGTAGTATTTCAAGCACCAGGGAAGACAGGGGAGGATCTGCAGAGAGATCTTGACAGGCTGGAGCGATGGGCTGAGGCCAACTGTAGGAGTTTCACTAAGGCCAAATACCAGGTGCTGCACTTAGGCCACAACAAACCCCAGCAGTGCTGCAGGCCTGGGGAGGAGTGGCTGGAGAGCTGCCAGTCAGAGAGGGACCTGGGGGGGTGACTGACAGCCAGCTGAACAGGAGCCAGCCATGTGCCCAGGTGGCCAAGAAGGCCAATGGCATCCTGGCTTGTATTGGGATTAGTGTGGCCAGCAGGGATAGGGAAGAGAGGTTACCCCTGGACTCGGCACTGGTGAGGCCGCCTCTCAATGAGTGGGTTGAGTTTTGGGCCCCTCACTGCAAAAAGGCCATGAGTGTCCAGAGAAGGGCAATGGAGCTGGTGCAGGGTCTGGAGCACAGGTCTGCTGGAGAGTGGCTGAGGGAACTGGGGGGGTTTAGTCTGGAGAAGAGGAGGCTGAGGGGAGACCTCCTGGCCCTCTGCAACTCCCTGACAGGAGGGGGCAGAGAGGGGGGATGAGTCTCTTGAACCAAGGAACAAGTGCTAGGACAAGAGGGAATGGCCTCAAGCTGCCCAGGGCAGGGTCAGGCTGGCTCTGAGGAAGGATTTCTTTGCAGAAGGGGCTGTTGGGCGTTGGAATGGGCTGCCCAGGGCAGGGGGGAGTCCCCATCCCTGGAGAGGTTGAAGAGTTGGGCTGACCCAGTGCTGAGGGATCTGGTGGAGTTGGGAACAGTCAGTGTGAGGTTCATGGTTGGACTGGAGGAGCTTCAAGGGCTTTTCCAACCTAAACAATTTTGTGATTCTGTGACAAAACTGACAGATCTAGGAGCAGCAAGTTCATGAGCCAACAATATGCATTCACAACCCTGAAAGCCAACTGTCCTGGGCTGCATCAAGAGCAGTGTGGGCAGCAGGATGAGGGTGGGGATTCTCCCACTCCACTCTTGAGACCCCCCTGCAGTGCTGTGTCCAGCTCTGGGGCCACCAACATTAGAAGGACAGGGACCTGCTTGAGCAGGTACAGAGAAAGCCATGAAGATCATCAGGGGCTGGAGCACCTCCTCTGTGAGGACAGGCTGAGAGAGTTGAGGGTTTGACCCTGGAGAAGACTCCAGGGAGACCTCAGATTGGCCTCCCAGGACTTAAAGAGACTAAAGGAAAGGGGGGAGGGACTCTTGATCAGGGGGTATAGGGATAGGATGAGAAGTAACTGTTTTAAACTGAAAGAGGGCAGATTTAGATTAGATCTAAGGAAGAAAGTCTTGACTGTGAGGGTGGTGAGACACTAGCACAGGTTGCCCAGAGAAGCTGTGGCTGCCCCCTCCCTGGAAGGGTTCAAGGCCAGGTTGGACAGGGCTCTGGGCAACCTGGGCTAGTGGAAGGTGTCCCTGCCATAGGTAGGGGATGGGACTGGATGATCTTTAAGGTCCCTTCCAGCCCAAACCATGCTATGATCAATGATTTCTTGGTCTGTGTGACCACCTCCTCTGTCATCAGCTTGAGAAAGGTTATCAAACCTTTGAGCCTACCTCAAAAAGAAAAGCTTGACCATCCTCAAGAGTCAGGGGAACAGTAACTGAGGTAAGAGCAGTGTTTGTTCCATAGAAGGGTTCCACTGATCAATACCCAGCCCTGACAAAAAGAGTTCAAGGGGTTTTCTTTTTAAACCAGGGACTGGATAGCCATGTATGATGGTGTTTGCTGTCTTTGTTTCTGTATAAACCACATATGAATACCAAATGAAGAGAAAAAATAGTTGGCACAGAAATAGCTGCAGTGCATTTGAGGCCTCAGAGGACTCGCAATTAGGCTTCTAACTATTCTCACCATAGCGAGACTGCTTCTTTCCCCCAATTCCAACTGCTGTTATCTTAGCCAAAGCCTGGGGCCCATCATGGATGCTGGGACCCTTGGTCCTACGAAGAGGCCTCTGTCTCTGAGGAGCAGAACATGATTCATCTGAGGAACTCAGCTCTTCATATTTTCCTGTAGTTCAGAAACAGATTGTTAGCAGCACATTAATTCATTTACCTACTTCATTTACTACTGGTCCTATAAATGCAGTGGGAATAAAAAAGAAAATGTTAAAAGAGGGAGGGTGAAACAGTTTAACTAGGTCAGAAAAAGACCAACAGACAAAAAAAAAAATAATTGTTGCATCCATGCCTCTTCCATCCACAGAAATGCTGGAATTTCCCAGACAGAGCAGGCAGCACTACCCCATACACACAGTACCATACTTGCAAATATCAAACACCTCTCTTCAGGTCCTAAACAAGCTAAAATATCTGTTACCTGGACCCCTGCAGAAGACCTTGGGCACTGGGGCTGCATGCAAATCTATCAGCCCCACAATCTTTGTGTGTCCATACTTCATGGCCAGTGTCCGTGCTGTGGCTCCAGTGTTATCTCTGACATCTGCCTTCACTCCCTATAGAAAAAATACACGTTTAAAATGTACATAGCAGAGAGCACTATATACAAAAATGCAAAGCAGCCAAAGAATTGTCTTAGTTCCTCCATGAGAAATACAGGCTCACCTCAGAGACGACAGTTCAAGCTCCACCAATACCTTATTTCTAGTTACTCAGAGTCTCCCCAGTCCCTGAATGCCAAATAGCCGAGATATATGGCTCTCGTGCATTGCCATGTGGAACTAGTTTGTTTTATTTGAAAAATGTTTTGCATTGCTGCCTCCTTCTGGAAGTAAGCTGGACCAGTTACATGGGATATTAAAATAGATTGTTTAACATTGAGACATGCATGCTCGCAAGATTTTTGGAGGCAGGAGATGCCCGCTAGCCCAAGCATGCAAGCATGTAAATACAATATAGAGACTATCACTTTAGCTGTTTTCTAATTCAGTTAAATCTGGACAATTAGATTTCACTCCTGCTTGTGCAAGACCAGTATAAAAATCAGAGTACTAGCCTTCAGAAAGAAGATACTTTGAGAACAGTTCTGGAAGTCTAGGACTTCAGAGGCAACTGTCATCAAGGATCAAACAACAAAATTCTAGCATCAAATGTGGCTCTTCCTCTGAGGGCTGGAACCACAGATTTTTCAGCTTTACAGAGAACTGTCTAGACACTTACGTGATTGAGAAGGTACTGAACAATTATCTCATGGCCAGAAGCAGCTGCTTCCATCAGAGGTGTATATCCATACACTGGTTCCCTAGAGAGAGAACAAATACACATATGGACTAGGATCAAAGCTGTAATATGCTGCAGTCTTTGGCGTATCCTAATAGGGCATCTCCAGCCTCTACCCTCAGCTGATCACAAGCTCTGCCATGTATTAGCTATTCTACCACACTCTGTAAAACTCCCAGTGGAGATTCAGTAAGTCTTACTCTATTGGCTGCCCAGCAACAGGTTACTCTTCCAGTTGCAGATCTGCCTTTCAGTGGCAAAATCAGTTTTGCAGGAGCTAACATAGCAAGAACCTCTTGTTGACCTCAGGCAATTTAATATGCATAAGTGTGCAGGCAGTTCAAGGCACAGAAATGCACTGCACACTTCAAAAAAACCAACCCCAAATTTAACACCAAGTACACAGAAAATGCAACAGAAAGACTTGTAAAGTGCACTTGAGTTCAGAAGACATTGCACCTGTTTGCTTTCAGAGTTTAGCCCATAATTAAACAAGTAGTAAATGAAATTTTTCTTGATCTTAGTTAAATAAACAGTAACAACATGGGCAGACTTCACTGTTCAGTTTGCAGGTCACCTATCCTTGCGTTAGCTAACAGTGTGTCATACTTGCTAAGGTACAGGAGGACAGACAAAAGCAGGCATCTTCTCCCTGTCCATGTCCGAGTGTGTTCACGCACCAGCTGCTGCTTTCGTATCTGAAATGAGGTATCTTTTGAGAAATAAAACAACAGATTCCTCCTTACCGGCAGTTGGCATTGGCCCCATTGTCCAGTAAGAACTTGACCATCTGCTGATGTCCAGCGCTGGTGCAGTGAAACAAGGCAGTCCAACCATGAATATCCTTCATCTCCAGCTCTGCGCCTTGCTTCAAGAGAACAGAGAACATTCTTTACTGCATCCCCTCTGCTGGGTCTCTTAGCCACTGCCCCTCTGTGCTGTCATATCAAGAGTTTAAATCCCTGTCAGGAAGCTGAACTTGCAACAGAATACAGATTGTACTTTGGTTGCAACTGGTGAAGAATTCTACCCTGCACATTTAAATCATGTACTGTGGCTTTACCTATTTATTATGGGATACACACCTGTAGCAGAAAGTAAGCAACACTTTCATTTCCACAGCTGGAGGCCAGCATGAGTGGTGTCTGTCCTTCTGGTGTTGGGATGTTCACATTCACTCCCGCTTCCAGCAGCAGGTGCACAACAGTGTCATGGCCAATGTAGGAGGCATACATCAGTGGAGTCCAGCCACCACAATTCCTTTTATTTAAATCCAGATCTCCACTAAATAACAGAGAAAAAGAGTTCAACTGGACTACTGTCCTGGAGGTGTAGATCACAGAAGGCTCCTGCAGCCTCTTGCTACCATCACTGTATTGAAAGAAGGCTGAAAAAAATTCTACTGCTGAAGCCTGTGTGGGAATTCCTACCAGCTCTAGCACAACTTCCAACAAATCAACAAGGAAATACTTTTTATCAGAGACCAGCTCCTTGAAACTTTGTGCCTAAGAACCCTTTGGGAGTTCCAGTGATGTGCCACATTAGTCTGACCTATATGGCAGCCAGTGAAAAAGCCGTAACTGGCTGCAATGAGCCACAGACCCCTCCCCAGCCTCTCCTTACCGCTGAATACACTCCTGCACCACTTCATACTGGCCAACTGAGGAGGCCGTATGCAAGTCCAGGGGAACATCCAGCTCTTCCCGACCGATCATCTGACCAACCCCGTGCCACATGGAAAGACTGCGGCTCAGCAGCTCCGACTCACTGGCTTCATCACTCAGCTCCGACATCCGGCCCTGGGCAAAGCCAAGCAGAACTTTTAGCTGCTGATCTCCATTTTCTATAGAACATGGCATCACCCGTTGGCACTACAGCTCCAAGGTGCCATGGGCTTGGAAGGTGAGGTCATCTCAGAGGTATAGTTTCAAATTCCTACCTCTACTTTGATCGCCTCCTTAGCTTGAAGCAGTAAGAGTTGATGAGTTTTTGCTGGCAGTTCTTTCTTGCTGCAGTGGACTCTGGGATTTGACTACACTGGAAAAACAAAAGCCAATAATGCTAAAAAAATATCTTCTGAATCTCATTTTAAGGACTTGGAAGCACTGGTTTTATTTCCTCCCCTTCTAATCAAAATATGCCTAAGGCAGCTTTAGATACACTTGTCAAGAGAAGGCTAAATACCTATTTAAGTGCTGATGGCATGCTTGGTGTTATACAAAAGGGTGTAAGTCTTGGTCTACATGTTTTATAATTCAGAGAGAATTAAGAATTCATATGTCAGATGTTCCTGGTCTTTCTCCATCTGTCTTATATTACAGGATGGCCCTGCTTAAGACACAGTCATTAATAATGACAACTGTCCACTGCTCTCAAAAGTAGTTAATATCACCTGAATAGGGTGCACACTTCATTATGTCACAAGGCTGTAAGTAGATTGCTTCTATCCTTTATTGTTTCATCACTTCAGAAGCAGCCCAGTCCTGTCTCTCTGAATCTTGAAAATTGCTGAAACACTTTGAGCAGCAGTGCACCTGCCCATTCATTATCTGAGCACGTCCACCATCCTGCAGACAGTAACTTAATTACAAAGCTAGTACAGTTTCATGACTGTCTGAAAGGTTTATTTCCCATCCCTAGCCTTCGGGAGCAATTGCATATTAATCATTTTAACCACTCACAGGAGAGCGTTCTTGTTTGGCACTTCATAAGAAGCTGTTCGACACAGCTGCATCTATCATCTGAGGTCTTCAGCTGCAGTTTCAGGCTACATCCAAGTCAATCCAATGGGAAGTGCCTTCCCCTCCCTGTACTCTCATCACCCACCAACCAGCACTTCTGGGGTTTGCCTGATCCCACTACCTATTATGTCAGACAGCTAAGCCAACATAAAGTATTCTTTCTTTTTCCTGATAATTTCTTGCCATTTTAATTCCTCAGACCAATTCATTCTGGGGTTATGCAAATGCCAAATTTGGCACTGGTGAAGAATAAAAGAGAGCACAAACACACTTTTCAGCTGCAGTTGCTCTTTAGATTGCCCCAGATGTAACATTTCAAAACCATATTTACATTTTCTAAAGAATCAGAAATCTTTGTCTTGTAAGCACCAGCCCCTTTTCTTATAAGTAAACACCTTTAATTTCTACCTTTTCACTCCCCATCCGGATCCTCTCTCACACACCTTGCTTTTTTCCTCACTCCTTTTTCAATTTAAGACTACAAAAGCACCATCCACCATTCTACCTAATCAGCAAGTGCTGGTAATAAATGATTCCTTTCCTGAGATATCTGCAAAAGCAGCTATTTTACCTAATAGCAGCAGTTTGTATTACACTGGCAACCCAGAGGCCTCAGGCAAGAATATGCAGGGCTGAACACAAATGAAAGACCTCAAGATCTCACAAATAAAAGGAGATATAAATAGATTTAACTGGATCATAAAGGGAATACCTAGGAGTATTAGGAGCATTACTCACTACAATAGACTAAAGTTGCCCCTGGAAGACAAAAAGGCATGTTCAGTTAAAGGAGGTAAAATCCAAGACAGTTTGTGGAAGCATATCCAATGGAAGGGAAGCTCTGTTCTCTCTGGGTACCCCCTTGCTAACTGGATACATTAACTATAAAAACCACAGATGTTTGGTCTTTGGCCAAATCAGCCCCACACCAGGTACTAGTTACCAACACAACTCTGGCAAGTAGATCCACAGTCAACAACACAATACTGACATGACAAAAAGGTTATGCTTGACTGCAGAATATTGAGACACTCAGTCTCATTCTTACAACCTGCACTGTGCTACCCACATCTTTGGTGTTTTGGTTTTGGGGTTTTTGTTTGTTTGGGTTTTTTAACTCTGAGATTTCACCCCTGCCTGAACAGGAGCATGTCAGCAGTGCAAGCACCTGAGAAAATAGTGGAACAGAATCTACAGGAGAACAATAAAAGTGATCAGAGCCCTAAAAATTGAAATTAAAATACTGGGTGAAATGAAATCAGAGTTGTCTGGTCTAAAGAGGAGACAGCCTTCAAGTACATAAATGGTTTCTACAGAGAGGACAACAGAAATAAACTGTTCCTTGAGGCCATGGTGAATATGGCAGGATATAACAGGTTTAAATTGTAGCATGGAAGATTTTGGTTAAAGATGACAAAAATCCTTGTAAAAATATAAACAAGGGTAGAGTGATGGATTACCAGCAGAGATTCAGTTGCTAAGAATAAGCTAGACAAAGACTTCCTGAACTTTTACAGGCTGTTCCCTTGCTCTGGGGCAATGCAGTTAACATTTGTTAGAGACCTTTTTCAGCCCTGTGAGGCTGTTATTATTAGTTATATTTACTACATCAACACCTAGCTATTTATCAGGGTCAGAAGAGTACTGAGATTCAGAGCTGGTAGCAAACACCACACTGTCCTGGATTTAGAGTCTGCTGCCTGAGCAGATGAGAAAAATTGTAGGGCAAAAGAAAAAAAATAAAATAAAAACTTAATATGAAAACTGCAGCAAAACACACTTTAGTATACCTTTTTTGAGGATAATCTTAAAGAACAAGTGAGAGTGGCAGAAGAGCCATACTAAAATAAATGGGAGATGATTTGAGAAGCAACTGAGGCAAGCAGTCTCCAACACAGAACAAATCCAACACGGCTCATTAATCACCACTCATCAGGCACCATTAAGCTGCACTGTCTCTGCTAAATCCATTCTCTCACATCCTCTTCCACAAGCACCAGTAATATCCACATGGCTCTTCCTGCCCCAAAAGACACAAAATACCCAAGACAGCACAAGTGTGGAGGTTGTTGGAGCTTCCAACTGAGCCATCAAGGTTGATAACTTCTGCTCCTGACTTAGTTCTATCTCCACTAAATTCAGCAACAACCTATTGGAGGAAATAAAAAGCCTTATTACATCCTTGTATAGATACAAATAGTTGTTACCAGCTCAGTCACAAGAAGCGCTCCCAGAGCCAGAACATCTCATCTTCACACTACTATTGTCTGCTGACTGACCAGAGATAGGCACACACAACAGCTGTAGGAACCACATCAGGTCTCCCAAGAAAGTGGTGTGTGAGAGACATTATCCCTGGAGAGCAAGCTCCAGCTGAAGACCCACAACACCCAGGTTCAATCCTACACATGCCTGTTAGAAAGACATCAAGCTCTTCATCTGTACCACAAGCCTAGCACTCTCATGCACATACTACGCTGCCAAAAAGACAAGGCAAGAGGCACAAAAGCACATCAACAGCCGCATCAGGGAGTGTGACTTGAGGAACAGAGGCTACGCCTGACAAGGCACAGCCCCCAGGACTCGGTGCCAATCTCCTCGCTCAACGATGAGCCCGAAGAGGAGCAAGCCCGGTTGTAGATGTCAAGACGATTAACTACGTGGCTGTTACCAGAAGTGTCACAGCAAAACAGTTTCTAAGCATGTTACCCCTGCACCTTACCGAGCCGCAGCTCCCCCAAAGCCCTCCTAGGAAGTCGACCTCGTGCCCGCGGCGGAGTAGGCCAGGGCCGGTAGACCTTAGTTAGCGGATAGAACCGCTTCGACCACGGGCCCTTCAAAACCAGCAAGCGGCTGAGGACGGCCCCGCAGGCGGCTGGGCCCGCACTAGCCCTCCCCACAGCCACTGGAGGCAGAACAGGCACCGCCAGACCCGCCACAGGGCCCGCCGCCCCTCACCTGCGCGCCCGGTGAGCTCCGCCACCGGAAGCCGCCCCGCCCGCGCAAGGAGTGCTGGGAACCCTCCTCCCACCGCGCCTCCCGACTACAAAGCCCATGGGACTCCGCAGAGGAAAGGGAGGCTCCGCCCCTAAGACGCCGGGCCAATACAAGACACGTCTGTGAGGAGGCGGAGCGAAGGCCAGCCAATGGGGTTCGGGCTCCTCGGGAGGGCGGGCGCGGGCCGGGGCTGAGGTACCGGGGACGGTACCAGGAGTGACACGGCGGGCGGAGCGGCGGCTGCGCGGGCCTCAGCTGCGTTGTTGCTGCTTTTTCTTCATCTTATAAGTTGTGTGGGTCCGCTCT